GATGTCGTTCTCGTGCATGCAAACAACACGCCATGCCAGCTATGGAAGCTTGCAAGGGTCACGGAAGTGTAGCGCAGCGCCGACGGTCTCATTCGTTCCTGCAAGCTGAAGTTGCAAGGCGGTCACCGTGCGATCAGGCCGATACAAGGACTGTACCCATTTCAACTGTGCGTTTAACTTTGCGTGACCGGGAATGTTGTTTAATTTGCACGTTCCGGGTTGGGACAAGGAACCGAAGAAGAAGGAGAGCGCGAGCAGGGAGAGACGCGGGGACGATCAAGTGAAAACAGAGTGATTCCGACTGCAGCTCAATAAACAAGTATCACTTGCCTTGTGCCTTAAAGACGGAGTTGAGTCTGATGGTAGCGTCTGGAACACCATCGTCTTTATAACGCTAGTTAAACTATAAAAAAAGAAATTGGCATATTTCACACTTTGAGTGAACCGTTTTCAAGCGAAGCAGCCAGGCAGTAACGATATAGGCTGCAGTTTTCGGCTTTGAGCAAAACGTTAACGGATGTACCAACGTGTTGTTTGCACATAATAGCCTAACCATGAACGTCAACTACACTGGCGTTTAAAGGGTAACTTAGGGTCTAACGTATACGTCAGCACTTGCGTTAGAGTAAAGACGTCGGTATTATCGAAATTAATGCACTTTACGGTTCCATAATATGGATTTCATGCGGCCCTTTCAATAGCGTATTCCTATGGGCTTTTTTGTAGCGTGCGGAATCAAGGGAATACAAAGGTATTGTTTCTTATACTGCTATCAAAGTGGTGTCGAAGATAGAACCCCATTTTACGTGAATGCGACATGATGCCTGCATCATAGGAGTACATATGTACTGTCTTTTGCTTTTCTATGTAATTGACTTACCAGTACTGTAGCCACAACTGACGTTGCACCGACATTACAATTGCATAGGGTCTTTATTGAAACCACTTTCACGACCTGTGTGGCTCTGTGGCAGACTACCTGAGTGCCACCCAGAAAGCTCGGGTTCGATATCTGCAGGACTTGTGATTTTTATTCTTTCCACTCGTTGGGTCAACGCTGCCTATGTCGGTTGTGTTTCTTAACACTCTTGCGTTGGAATTAACAATGTCTGTTGTAGCCGTACCCGACTCTATATAAATTAAGGATCACCTATGGCTGACACCCGCATGCAGGGGCCCGTGGTGTCCGGGTATGTGGCCACACGTGTCTGGAGGAAAGGGTTTGACGACGTACGCGACGGGATTTCCACGTTATTTATGTCGTGAGCAGACAGACATAATTGTCAATCCCTCTTATCTTCTTATACCAGTCTTGGTGTACACCAAGTTTCAGAGACAATCACGAGAGCACCAAAATTTAAGCTGATAGATAGATAGATAGATAGATAGATAGATAGATAGATAGATAGATAGATAGATAGATAGATAGATAGATAGATAGACAGACAGACAGACAGACAGACAGACAGACAGACCGACAGACAGACAGACAGACAGACAGACAGACAGACAGACAGACAGACAGACAGACAGACAGACAGACAGACAGATAGATAGATAGATAGATAGATAGATAGATAGATAGATAGATAGATAGATAGATAGATAGATAGATAGATAGATAGATAGATAGATAGATAGATAGATAGATAGATAGATAGATAGATAGATAGATAGATAGATAGATAGATAGATAGATAGATAGATAGATAGATAGATAGATAGATAGATAGATAGATAGATAGATAGAAACGCTCAATGTGCCTTGGATTCGCTAAGAAATGCTTGGCACTTAATACCCCGAAAAATATTAAGCAGCTCCTACGCGCCCAAGATACCAGCCACAAAGTTGCAGTACTTACTAAAGAATACTTTGGTACTGCGATCGTTCAGCGACCATGGGAATGCTGGGTGGTGACTGGGACTTCAAACATACGTGTTGCTTTTTGATTGTTTCGATTCGGCGCTTGTTTCGGATAGCATAATGGCAGTTGTGAACTTTGTGAGCTGATTTGAACTGTTCAGTGTGAGAGCGTCATGGTGGAGTAGAGGTACGGCGAAGCTTTTGCAAAGCTTCGTCCTGACCAGAATTTGGGCAACATTGGGGTGCATGTAGCGTCATCTCTCGTCAGAGACAGCGGCGGTCGGCCGTAACTGAGTGAAAAATAGGAGCAAAAAAGTATATTAAACGCAAAAAGCTAGTTATCACAACCGAGTTCCCGTTATATCTAGTAGAAGCACACTGGAACACTCTGGCAAAGTCACGTGTCGCACTACAAACAGCGCGGCTTCCCAGAGTGTTTAATGCCTTGAAATGAGGCCCCGTGTGTTTATGATGCATGACGTTCATTTGTTCTGGGAAGCCACCCGTTTTCTTGTCGGATACTGAAGTTCTGCCAGAATGTTACAATGAATCTCTACTGCAAATGACTGGGAGTCGTTTTCGATCAGTAGCTTTTTGCGTCAGATGTGATTTCTTTTTTCGCCTACACCCCGCTCACTTACAGCAGGACTCCACTGCTTCCGTCGAGAGATGGCGCAGTGTACAATGTCTCCAAATCCTCGAAGTGCTTGCCAAAAAAGTGTCTGCAGGCCACACAGAGCCACGAGGAGCTGAAAAACTACCCGTAATTACAATTCCGGGTGAAATCCCATGCATTTCAGCTCCCATACCCAGACAACACTCGATGTCCTGGGGCCGTCCTCATATGGTACAATCGTCCTCGCATAGTTCTCATTGACCTTGCTACTTACTGAGGACGACACAAGCTGGTTTCACCCGGAAACGTCTTTTCCAGTGCTTTCTGAGGACAACAATTTATCCTGAAAAAGTAATATTAAGGACGTTTTGGAGATGACAAAAGCAATGCACTAGCACCGGTTCAAACGTCTATTCGCGTGCTTTCTGAGGACGACAATTGGTCCGGAAAAGGTCCTGTCAAGGACCTTTTGGGTATGACAAAAGCATTGCACTGAGCACACACATATATTTCCTCAAGACCTTTGCGCACCAAGTAGATGCATTTCATGCGTGAAAACTTTCTCAGCACGTTTGTTTCATACAGTCATAAAGTTATTGTATATTTTTGCCTCGTTTGTTTCTTTTCCCGCTTAATGAGACACGCGTAATCAATGGGCTGAGGTATCGAACCTGGTATTGCGAAATGTCCATTTGAAAACAGTGTATTCTTAAGTGTCACCGCCTTAAATTAGTCATTATACGCCGCTGTAGCACGTAATAAGAAACTAGCAGCTGGCAACCATTGACTATGCGGCACCATTCTGGATAGTCAATAGCCAAGCCATTCCAAGCCAACTGATTGTCGAAATGGCAGCGGCGGCCCTGTCAGAGAAGGTGCAGTGTACTAGTGAAAGTTCGTGTCCTTTCTTGTTTTTGTGCATGGTTAAAAGTGAGATATGTGTGAGAGTGCAAGTCGTAGGTGATGGCGGGAGGTAAATTGCCGTGTTGATGGGTGCACTAGGCTGCTCAACGTTCAGACTGATCATGGGTGCATTGTCACGAGCCGACCGCGGCGAGGTGTGGTTCGAAGCAGCCTGGACACCAGCCAATTGTGATCAATTATGCTTCGAAGCAGCCTGGTCCCAACGTGAAAGGATCTACTTCTGCATCTGACACAGGGCCCGACCTCGAGCAAGTCAAGACAACGCCCGTGTCGAGTGTACTGATAGACTGTCAGAGTGTAGCCTCTAACACTAGTGAGTGCATTGGGCACGATACACGTGGTGATGACACAGTGTCAAACTTTCGAAAAAGATCACAAACGTAGTTGATTGAGCTGTGTTGACTGCCTTGGTACTGCTTTTCTTTTTTCAGACTATACGCGGACTCGAATGCCTGACAAAGCAGTCAGTTGGGATTTATTGTTAAATGAATGAATTTCAGTCAACAAGCTTTTTTTTGTAATAGTCCAGCACTGTCACCTCTCTGTAGACTGATACAGTATATATACTCGAGACCTCGCAGGTGTTTTTCTTTTGATGTATGGAAATATCATGAAAAGAAGTAAATCCTAAGTAGTATCACTGCCCACAGTATACCGAACCGGCCACGCTATCGTTGTTCTGAAAAGATACTGAAAAAGTCCTGAAGTGTTGTTTTGAGGATGAGCTGAGGTTGTTATTTGTATGGACAAAAGGACGGGATTAGTGCCACTCTAGTACCACAAGAGGACATTCTCAGGGCGTCATACTGTCCTTACGGAGGCATACTGAGGACGTCCTGAGGTTGTGTTTGTGTTGTCTGGGATAGACACTAGCGCCACTTTACCTCCAGCGTATTATTATAAAACTCTATGCTGGCAGCACGCTGCTGTATCTACACGCATGCTACCAAGGGAGTTCAGCTCATAAAAGTTCGCACCGCTAAGGTCAAGGGCACTGTTAGCGCTTCTTTGCATCACCACTGTACATTGTGTTTTTCTTCCTTACACGTAGGCTAACGTCGGCTACCTGGAGTTATCGAGCTCTACGACTAAAGTTATGCATTGTATCACAGGAACTGTTTAGAGAACCTGTCGTTTCTAAAGAAAATACCCTCTTAACGAAGTTCTTTTCCACTTTCGAAACTGCACCACAATTAAAATGTTCGGCGACGTGCTGGATTGTTAAAATGTCATGCTGGTTCTTCATTGCCAAAACTAGGAAAGGAGTGCTCTAACACAAAACAAGATAAAACAGCAAAACAAAGCAGCAATTCTCGTTCAGTACTGGTACACTTTCCATAAGCCTCTCTCTCTCTCTCTCTAGGCGTTACCTTACCATAAGCCTCTCTCTTTAGGCATTAGGATTGCGACAAGCCCCCCTTTATAGACGTTAGACCTCTAGGCACTAGGCTTACCACAAGCCTCTCTCTGTAGGCATCAGGCTTACCACAAACCTCTTTTTTTGTCTCTGCAGAGGTTAGATATACCATAGCGCTTTCTCCTTTTATCTAGGTGTGAGTCTTCCCATAAGAATCTCTGTCGAGTCGTCGGGCTTACCATGAGCCTCGAGACGGGCATGTATCGCACGATGATGAGCGAGGCGCTGACCACAAGGTAGGCGAGCAGCGTGCCGATGGACATCATCTCCACCAGCGTGTGGATGTCCAGGAAGATGGCCAGGAAGGCGGACAGCACCGTGAAGGCGTACATGGCAGCCAGCGGTAGCTGCGTCCGCTGGTTGACGCGCGAGAACCAGGAAAACAGGAGGCCATCCTCGGCCATGGCGTACACGATGCGTGTCAGGGCGTACACGTTGCCCATCAGGACGGTAACCATGCCGCACACCGCCCCGATGATTACGATCACCTAAACGAAAATGGACATAAGTCATAATTGAGAAGGAAAACCATACCTCGATCATTTACACGCCGTGAAAAATGTCGCATAGCAAAGCAATAAGCCTGCGATCGTGTGGCAGCGTAGACTAAGACAACCAAGTCTCGTTTCGAGTACCATCATCATCACCATCATCATCGAGATCACGGGCGTAGCTAAGGTGGGGAATGGGGGTTCCCACCCTCGTTTTTTTTTTCAATTTTGCTTGCGTACATGCACACGTACGAACGCGCGCAGGAACGCGCATAAAATATAACTGACCTCCCCCCCCCCCAACCATAAAAATTTCTCACTACGTCTCTGGTAAAGATATTAACACGCACCACGGAGGAAGGAAAGGTAGGAGAGGGCATGCCCAGCCGGCGCGCTACGTGAAAAGTATGGCGGAAATGACATCATGGCGGCCATATTCACTGGGCACAATGGCGGCGTTGCTATGGTTACGTGTTGCGCAGTGGAGCTGGTCTAGCAGTGAGCGGCCGCGGCTGGCGGCGGCATGTGTGCCACCTCAGGTCTCGTGTTGAACCGTGGCGGACAATCCGTGCTCTGCGCCGCGTTATTGGTTACACAGTGTTCTCCTGGCAGGCACTGTACTCTTAGCAACGTTTACAAATCCCTTTGTCCATCACGGAGTTTCAACAGGGTCTAGAACGAGTGAATATTCATGTGTCGTGCGGCGGATGACACGGATGAAGCAATTAGTGTTCAGCGAAATTGCGTTGGGCACCATGATGAAGCTGAACGACGACGAACGCCTTGAAGGTAAGTGATGGTTGTACAGTGCTCCTGCTTGTGACAACGGACGACGCTGTTGAGCCCAGCAAGACGCAATGAGGACCGTCTGCACATACGTAGTTTCGTGTTGTATGTGTAAAGTAACAACTTGCACGTGCGTATTAAAACACCTTTCTGTTCCGCTTCGTATACTCTCCCCCAGCGTTGCATGTAATCTCAACGAAACAGTAACCACGTTCAAGTGTCACTTGCACCGTGCTCAAAGTAATCACGGTCGCAGAATGCTGACGCCGGTGAGTTTGACGCGGAACATGGACACAGTGGCCGGACGCTGCGTCGGCCGCGTGGCGGAATGCAACCGTAGAAGGCGCACGACCGATCGTGTTGTCTGCACAGTTGCTGAAATAATGACGTGAAAACACTCGCCGTTGTCAGTGCATCTAGCGTGCGTTCTCTTGTACTTGCTTCGTAGTCAGTGGGCTGTGACTCGCTGTTAATGTTCCGACGAAATGATTTCGCCGAAGGTGTCGCGCTGGCTCAGAGTGTAGAGCCCCGTTCCATTTAGTTTAGAATCGTCGCGACACGCGCGCTGCGCAGCTCACGTGCTTTCCGAGCCAGAGAAAGAGTCGGCCTTCTGCTTTACATTCGGATGTAAACAAGAGAGGAGAATTTGCCTAGTCAATATGGCCAACTTCCGGCTTCATCGCGGCTTCACAACGAGTACCGTCAGAGCCTCTCCTACCTTTACTTCCTCCGTGACACGCACTCTGTAAGCATCAGAGTTTAATAATGGTGAAGCAAACGCAGTTGCACCCGTCCGCGTAAGTGATGGGGAGCTGCTTCCTGAGCAGTACAATGAAAACAGCACGCCGAAACTTTGACTGATTACTCCAGCGACCAGGAACCTAAAATAACTGGTTAACGAACACATTTTCGAGAGCATTGCTTTAGTAGCAGCATTGGCAGAAGTGACCACAATGGTTATCGCCTTCCATTGTCATGCTTCTAAAAGGTGGTAGAAGTTCTACCTTTTTTCCCGTGGTGATTAGATTTCTCTCCAGAGAAGTTCATGTTTTCGTGCCTCCCGAAGTAAGAGAGCCAGAATTGTGAGCTCTGTCATTTTTGTAGTGCAGAGCCATCACCAAAGCTTTAACTGAACTTTAATTAAAGCCAACAAATGACCAGCAACCTCCCTTCAAGCCTGCTGGTTTTTGTTAAGGTTGTGTCAGACAATTAAGCAAGCTCTCGAAAATTTATATCCTACATACCAAATATTTGTGCAATTTAATCAGCAAATGAAAATATTTAACGGCGGCAACAAGCAAAGAACTCAGCCGTTACTCTAACTTTTGTGACATATAAAATACAAGACGAAGTAATGATAATTAAGGATAATGTTCTGGGTTTAACGTCCCAAAACCACCATATAAGAGACGCCGTAATCCTGGGCACCGGAAATGTCGACCACATGGGGTTCTTTGACGTGCAGCTAAATCTAAGCACACAGGCCTCCAGAATTTTTGGCTCCATCGAAATGTGGCCGCCGCGGCCGAGATTCGAACCCGCGACCTGCACAGCCGAGTGACTTATAAGTGGTTGCGGTCATAGGCGAACGCATGGTTCCCCATTGGGAGGGGCAAGTGTAACTGCAGCGCCTGCGTGCTCCACCAGTGGATCAGTCCGATGGAAAAGAAGCTTCGCATCAGGCAAAAAATATTAAACTGAAGGGCTTCTCACAACGACCTGCGCTTGCTCCCCTGATTAACGAGGGTGAAGGTGCGAAGTAAACTATTTCCCCCCTTTCTCTTTTTTTTTTGTTTACTGTAAGTGTTTTCTCTTTGCAATATTTGAACCCAGAGTTTGTACGCATGCATTTCATGCCTATTGCTATTCCAAAAGAGTATATAACTTATGCTGTCTCCATTTAACTTACTCCATTTTGAGTATATATTTGTATTTTCTGTAACTAGGCCCAGTTATTGCTATCATTTCATACAATCTGTCACTATCACTACTTCTGTCTGATGTAACTGGCGGAGGGGGGGGGGGCTTACTATTATTATAATTATTATTATTATTATTCTCTCATTGCAATATAAGGGGCCCACGGTCACCATTATTGTGAAAAACCTGCGGTATCATAGCCTTGAACAATAAAAGATGACATAACTTGTCCCCTCCTTCCCACATATGTTGCAGTCTCCCGCATAGGCATGACTCCTCTTACCCTTCTCTCACCCAAGCGAACGCCTACGTATATAGCCACCATAGCCTATGGTTACAGTGACTTAAAACTAGCTGTCACAGCTTGACTTGGATTGGTTTAAAAAGTTTTACCACTATGAGTAGGTTTTTCAATTCATTCATTTTTCCCGCGCAAAAATTCTCCTGGCGGCGGTCGCGCGCACGCCGACTCATGTGGGGTTTTCTTGTGTTGCCGGTAGATGTCGCATCTAACCTGTGTTTTGCCTGTTTCCGTCTGTTTTGCGCGGCGAGCCAGGTGAGCTGGCAACCCTGGGGTGATTCTCCCAGGCTGGCGCTTCATAAAAATCGTATTTCTGAGGTCTAGGAGTCGTATGTTTCGCTTAGTTGTACAAAAAAGACAAAAACTAGGCTGCGCCAGTCACAGTCTTAGCCGTATTATGCGTATTAGACGTATTATCAGCAGCCTTAGACATATTATAAGCATGAAGGAAGGACGTGGAGGAGACAGAGGAGCGATCCTCTGCGTTTTCTTCACTTTTCAAGCATTGTACCATACATAACATGTTTAGGCGCCAGTTTGGTACATAGGCACTACTCGCCCAGGAAAAAAGTTATACCGCACATGCATTACATTTCTATTTTCCTAGAAAAAGTGCGATTTTTCTCATGTCTAAAAGGGAGATTACTCGTGCGAGAACTGCAATTCGTGAGCGTCAGGATATTAATACCAGTTCGACCATACAAATATCGATTCGACGGCATTACCAAGACCATATCGATACCAGTTTGACGACAATTATGCTGTATAGTAGTGCACATTTTAGAATCTACTCATTAATTTTTGATATCACAATTTTTGGGATAAAATGGTGTAATTCTTATTACGTCGTTTTTATAAGATCGGCACTGTGTAATTGAAAACAGACAGAACACTAGATGCCGCCTCTAATCACAAAGTATAGGGAAAAAAAACAACTCATCGGGATTGCTTTTGTGTTCGCTTAAGATATCTTGAAGGCTAAAGCCATCCGGTGTCTCTATCAGGTCATCACCCTCATAAACATCAGAAAAATCACTATCATGTTCAATTTATTATCGTCATGTAATTATCATCTTCGACGACAATTTTGACCATGTAGATGTACATTGTTTTTGTTATCACACGTGTTCACGTCGACGACTATGTGCATTCGCGTATGGTAACTTTCCATTCTAAGGCATATAATGCTTTCGTCTTTAAAGGAGTACTGCCACAAGTTTTAAATATTTTCATGTTGTTCATATACCATAAGACCCCACTGTCGAGAACCCTAAATAGAGTGTCATACTGCTTTGGAATGCATTGAATATATTTTTATTAACCCTATTTTAACAGGGCAATTTAGGTTTCGCTATCAAGGGGGGGGGGGGGGGGGGGGAGCTTCGTTGCGACTTGTCAAAACAGGTCTGACGTCACAGGATTACTTCATCTCGTGACATGCTAGCAACAGCTGTGAGTTTGGTTATCATTCGCACGTAGTTCACGCAAACAACGTCAGGGAATAGTCGCCCAGAGTCTCAAACAGTTATTTCAGCGATTTGGCAAATTGGCAAAACCAGTGAACCATGTTGACGTGTCCGAATAATGTCTGTTTTGCTGGGGCTGGCTTGTGTATGTTGAGCGTAGAAAACTTTATAATCAAAGTAAAATATTTTGTACGTGTTTTTGTTTTCTTTTTGTCCCCAGCTTGAAGAAAGCGTTTAAAGGGCGTACCACGGAAAAAGGAAACGCCCCTTTTTGGGGTGCCTCAAAATCGTGTCAGCCCTCAATTAAAAAAAAAAAACGTTACTTTAAGCGGTTCATATGTTGCCAGGCAACAAACTAACTGATTTGTTTGTTTGTTTTTGAGATCAGCTGTCGCGTTTTGTTCTTCAAGCGTTTGAGGCATTTGACCCATCCCGTGTACACCGTTTAAACGATCGTCTATAGTACGTTGACTCTTTTCATGGTGGTGTTGCGACATTGGCTCGTCAAGCTTCATTAAAGCTCTGTCGAGGAAGCGTAGATATCGAGTACATATCGAGGAAATCCCGCCATGCGCCGTCTGATAAGAGGCGGAAAAATACCGAGTCAGCAAAATAAAAAGAAGTACGAAGCGCAGCTGCGGCAATGAATCAGCCACATGGAAACACGGCCCATGATGTGCATGGCAAATTAGCCAGCTCATTTTGATGACTAACCACTATCGGAAAGAGACACACATATGTTCCGTCAAACAAAAGTCTTCAAAAGCCGACGCAGCAGACGGCAACAGTGAACGTTCTTACACATTGTAAAGGACAAGAAACTAGTGCGGATGGTTTTAGCGCTGACAGATGATCAGTAATAGCCACTGCTGGATGCACATTTCTATAGGTGGTATGTAGAGATGGATAAGTTACTCCGTAAAGGTAAATAACCTACATTTCAAGTTAGAGCTAGCTGGAAGCAATCACATTAGATGACTATTACCTTTCAACAGTAATGAAATTGCTTTTAAATTACGCAAATATTCATCCTTCTTGCACGACTCATGCACTCTATATTTACAGGACATATACATTGAAGTTGCGGAGTCTTTTGTTCAGCTTCCCACGCTTGGGGTTTGGCACCCAGAATGACTTCTCTCTGTTATTCTCCTTTCCGTTTTCCTGGTAAATGGCTCAATTTTCGTTCCAGAAAGAAAACAGACATGCTATGTTTCAATAGTAAAGAATGGGGAAGGTAATCATTTCCTAAAATTACTCGCTTGATAAAACTGATGCGATGATTGAATTTCCAGCCCACAAAAGTTATTCATTGCACTGCTAATTACAGCTAAATAATGTAACTGAATTACGGCCAAGCATGGTGCTTTGTAAGCAACATTATCTGTCCTTACGACACTCTTATTTCTCAATCTCCCATCAGATAGCGTTTATGGTGGCAAGCCGGTGAAATACGCTGAAAAACCTCACTCTCTCTTTTTTTTTTTACTTCCATCTCACCTAATCTCTTTCATTAGCCATGACATTAGGACAAAAATAGCTTACTTATTTGCAAAATAAACCGGCCAAAGGACGATGATGAAGAAAGGATGTGTAGTGTACTCATCCTTTCTTACCGTTCTTACGAAGTTGTCATCCCCGGCATAAGGCAGAATAACAGTTTTTCGAGACTGGTCAAGGTCCCTGCCTTTCCTCCCTGTCCTGTTCCTTCCCTCCCTCCTTCCTTAAGGATTGCAGAACGGAAATAATTGTACATCGACTTTGACTACATAGAAAAGAAGAGCAACTAAAACTGCAACAACTTACCTTCGCCCACGTGGCACCGTTAGCCGCAAGCGCGTCCGGTAAGCCAGACTCGCTCGTGATCTCTGTATAGTTCACCATGAGCGTCAGCACCACCGAGATGGACACGTACACGACGGTCACGATGCTCATGGAGATGAACGTGGCGAGAGGTAGGGACCTCTGCGGATCACTGGCCTCTTCGCCCGACGTGGCGATTGAGTCGAAGCCTATGTAGGCGTAGAAGCAGGATGCCGAGGCAGCCAGAACCCCATGCCAGCCGTATGGCATGAATCCGCCGGTCGCCGGGTTGGTCCAGTTCTCCGTCTTGGCGAAGTACGAGCCCACGGCGACAATGAGCACTGCGATGCCGATGTTAACAATGGAGAAGATGTTGTTGATATGTGATGAGGCCCGCACACCCAGGGACATGACCACGACGAATACCACTATGAACACGAACGCGAACAGGTCCGGCTCCTCCGAGAAGAAGGTGGCATGTATCTTGCCCACGTGATCGGCCGTCCACGTCTTGATGACGTTGCCCAAAAGGGAGTCCACGTAGGCGCTGCACGCCCGAGCCACGGCGGCCAGCCCGATGACGTTTTCTAGGACCACGTTCCAGCCGACAAGGAATGCCCAGAACTCACCCACTGCCAGATATGTGTAAGAGTAGGCTGATCCGGCTTAGGAAAGCGGACGCCGAACTCGGCGTAGCTGAAGGCGGCCAGTAGGGAAGCCACGCCGCTAATGAGGAAAGAGAGAACCACAGCCGGACCAGCCACAGACTTCGCCACGGTGGCGGTGAGGACGTAAATACCTGAGCCCATCATGTGACCAATGCCGAGCAGGGTGATGTCAAAGGTGGACAGGCATCGGTTGAGAGAAGTCTCCAGGAGGTCCGTGCCCAGGGGCTTGGTCCTCCGGAGCTTTCGCAGAAAGGCCTTGAATCCGGACTCCATTATGGCAGCCTGGTTCGGGTCACGTAACCAGGTGGGAATAGCTGGCGTGCTGCGTACGTCCTTCGAGGATCACAGCCTGCGATAAACGTGAAATGGGGCAGTGTTTTCACTAAATTGAACGAAAATGTGTGAAGGGAGGCTTAGGTACTCAACACTGCTGCATGACAGCAAGGTGCATTGAACTGAGAAAACAAAACACAGATTCAGAGCAGGAATATGGCGATTACTAATGATAGGCTGTTTGTGTCTCCCCCTGTAGTGTCTCTCTTGCTAAGTCCATATTATATCAGTCAGTCAGTCAGTCAGTCAGTCAGTCAGTCAGTCAGTCAGTCAGTCAGTCAGTCAGTCAGTCAGTCAGTCAGTCAGTCAGTCAGTCAGTCAGTCAGTCAGTCAAAGAACTTTATTTGGTCCTGGGAAGACGAGAATGTCCCCGTCAGGGAGTTAGCCTGTTGCGATCGTACTATAAGATATTGGTTATAAGCGTGCTATGGATAGACGCACATTCACCCACACGGCGCTCTTCTACCTCTCTTGTCTTTCTTCTCTTTTGATCCCCTCACCCCTTCCCTCAGTGTAGGGTGGGAAACCGGAGGTGCGTCTGGTTGACCTTCCTGCGTTTCATTTCTTGTCTTCCTGCTCTTTCTGATGCATAAAATTCTTTCGAATGGACACTAACTAAGCGCAGAACAGAACACTCTCGCAAAAAGAAAACTCTGAAGATTCGATACATCACGTAGTTATGTTTAAAGCGCACTCTATCTCTATATAACCCCGATATATCTGTTCTTAAATAGAATGCCGTCGAACCTGGATACATCACATCTGAAGGGGCCTCAATAGTTCTATAGATGGGCAATTCTATATCAAAATATTTACGTATCGGGAATATATTCGAAGAAATTCTACAACGGGTTGCCACGGACAATAATCAATAATTCGTGATATGTAGGTTTAACATGTGCGGCTTAGGTTTTAGCTACTTTTCCGACTTCCGACCGACAAAACACGCTGCTATCTTGGAGATGTAGCGCACACAGTATTACAACAGAAGGCTTGCAATGTGATCCTGACGCTGCGTGGAAGGCTAACATTGTTGCAGTAGATCGGGCCTCCACAAGGTACAACAGATTTCAATGCGCACTAAAGTTACTGAAAGCTTATATCTCAGCTTTGAGTTGGGTACTTGAGGTGTGCACATATGTAAGAATCAGCTCTTGTCCAAAAAAATAGACTGAGCGAGATGTGCACCTGCACCCAAGCGATTACGGAGGCGACATTGACGCGAGTGAGTGCTGTCGTAGCGTTGAGCGATGTTCGATTGTCTAATGAAAAGCTTTCAATTCTTCCTTTTTTCTATCTTAACATCGGGTGTCAGTTGAAATTAAATCGCCAGCTGAACGCCCCAGAATCTCGTACGTACTTGAACATTAAATAAAACTTGCTCATGACCAAGCTGGTTCATGATACTGAAGGACTTGGAAGATTGTGGATGCACGCTGATTGTCGGTACATGGTTACAAAAGGCAACCGCAAAACCACGCGGCACACAATACAGACAACACGAACCGCTTAGCGCTGCCTTTTTCTGTGCAACACGTGTTATAGCACTTTTATTCGCTAATCATACTTCTGCATATAAAATGCGTGCAATAGGACATGAACGAAAGGACAGCCCACACGGGCGCCCATACGTACTGACCCCTCGTCTTCCCCTTGTGTAGCACATATCATACCCTTTAATCGAACATGTGTTCAGGCTATTTAAAAATGTGTCATGAAAAGGGAAATACCCGCCTTCTTTCTCTCTTCAGTAATGCAACGATACGTACATGGTCGTGGGCTCAAAAAGAGATATGCAAAGCATGGCAGCCTCCCCACCCGTACGTCAAAACAACATTGTTTCTTTATATAGGCACGTACTCGATCAATTAGCTCGTTATGTGGTCAGTAATGCGACGCCACCGTTACGATCGCAATATAGTGCCTAATCATAGATGAGCAATGTTTTCTGCCTTCCCTGCTATAGACTGGCATTGTATTACTAAGATAAGTTTGAAAAATTAGTACCTATACTTCTCGGCATTGTCAGTGTGTGATCGATCAATTAGCTCGTTGTGTAGTCAGTAATACGACGCCACCGTTACGATCGCAATATTGTGCTTAATCATAGATGAGTAATGTTTTCTGACTTCCCTGCTGTAGACTGGCATTTTATTACTAAGATAAGTTTGAAAAATAAGTGCCTATACCGCTCGGCATTGTCAGTGTGCGATTTCAACATATAACTGCATTCCCTTCAATAATACGGAGCAGCCTTTGAGGCATTTCACTATCCAATATAACATCTGTAAAAACACATGTTGTGCAAAGGAGATAGACGTGAAGGGCACTGCATTTGCGTTTTCTCAGCCGGTCTGCAGAAGGGAGTAAGCAGATTACATACATATAGACTGTACGCGACGTTACAGTGCAGCTTCTGCACGTACTGGAACTCCACAATGGAAACTTTGATGGCAAAGAAGGTCTGTTTAACCTGATCCAGTGTGATAGCGATGTGGTAGGAACGTTTTTATACGTGAATAACAAATGACCTGCTCGTGATATTGATTAGGATAATGTAAAATTCCCAGCGTCCCGTACCCTACACTGGTGATCTCACACGGTGGTTTCACTGACGATAATGCAAGTCATCTGTACAGAATTGTCTATCTGGACAGGCTATAGTTCCTTGAGGGACAGCTCGTATTATACGTCCGGACAAATCACGAAGTCGACATTTGTCCACTCCTTCATTTGGGGCCATCGAAAGAATACATAACTAGCTTTGCGAGCACTGGAAGATTAAGCTGGCCCGAAGCACGCTCTCTTTAACGCAAGGGGCGCGATATTCAACGCAACCATATGTTCGCTGAAACTGTGACCGCGACGATATTTGCGAAAGCATCGCGAGTGCATCGCCGTTTTCACGCATCGGCGTATCGTAACTTGCTCTAAAACGACGTCCACCGGACAAGGGTTGATGTTCCAAACCAGGAGCGAACTAGGGCTCTCGCAACATCCGCAGTGAAGCATGACCATATGTGCGCATGTGGGGACCTTGATAGCACGTATACCGACCGGATGAAGTACACACTTCGCGTAAACTTGCGCGCGACCCCAGGTAGATATTGTTTCAATATTTTCGAAACACAAGCGCTGACCAGCTGCAGCCGGCATAGCTCACCTTCGCGCTGCACCGTACTCGCAGTCAGCGACACGTCCTCGGCGTGCGTGAGACAGGTACCACGGGCCCCCACATGGCGATACGCCGTGTAGCTTTTCACTGCGCGCTTTCGGATTGCGTGGCGTGAATGGCCGGCCGACAGGTCTGATGGGTCGCTTGCAATGCGTCCTTGCAGAAGGCAGTGACTCGCAGTGAGCAGCTTGGCAGGTGCGACAGCTGCAACAGCTACCACTGCGTGCGTCGGTCCGACAGTCGGCCGCCTTAGTTAAGGTAAATGGCCGCCTTCGCACGCCGGTGGATTCGAGAGCGATCTGACGCCAGATGGGGGTGCTTCCGTCGCTCGCGTGGACCTGCACGCAGTCTCCGGGGGTCCCCGGCGCGATCAATAAGAGCGTTAGAACCCAGTGCGCGTGCGCCATGAGTCACAACTGCGGGGCGGAGAAGGGTGCTTCGTGGCTGTAGATGGTCTGTTTGTTTTGTTTTCGCTTGTTAGCGTGTCTGGCACCGCCCGGTGTCTTCGGTCGTGCAAACACGTGTCCGTGGCCGTCTTTTCTCCTTCGCCACCTTTTCCTTCTTACCTCCTTTTCACCCCTGCGAAGTGCTTTAAGAACTAAGGATTGAGAAAAGGAAAAGAACGACGTGGAAAGCACGTGCTTCCCGCGATATGTAGATTGCGTAAACGCTATAATGGAAAACGACGGGACAAGACGACCAGATGCGCGAGACACGGTGATGGCACCCCTGTACATGTTTGCCGAAGCCACGGTCATTTTTTTGTTGTTGTTGTTATTGAAACGACAAAAGCCTTGGGTGAACAACGGTTATATGTGGATATCATGGGACAGCCGCTAGTGCAGAGGATTGCTGTAATTACCATGGCGAAAGTACCTGATGCTCGCACCAGCATAGCGACAGCATGCAAAATAGCACGCGCGGACATTGTTTGTGATTGCAGCGCGCGTTGTGCCTATGTTATCTTTGGTTTATTGACAGTGTCATTTTGTGCGATAGCGCAAACCTGTCATTTTCTGAGACAACGAGCGAAAGAATGGCCCGTCCCCGTTATGAACGTGTGCGAAAGCCCTCAAAAGATTTCCGAGAGATACTGGATTCATCTGGTGTCATTGTGAGACGCCATCTTGTAGAGTGTTTTGATGTGTTAGGGATATGTCCTTTGTCTATTCGCACATGACACTTGCTGTTGGGTATTTCGTCATGGTCAAATGGATTAGTAATATGGTAAGTGCGCTACGAGGCAAACCGCATTGGTGCTCGTTAAAACATTTTTTTATTGATATGATATATAAGGAGATGTTGGCGCACCATTATGGCGCCGGCTACTCCTTAGCCGTTGATTGAAACTTGAACACGTATCTTGAAGCAAAACATACAAAGCAGTGCATGGAAAATAGAAAACTGGGGCACAGATATGCAAAGACACACTTATACGCACATATCACAATGGTAAGTAAATGTTCGAAAGTCAATGTAAGAAGTCTCTGGAAATGTCCCTCGTTAATATTCGGTCCACCAGCACAAAACAGCAAAGCACACGTCTTGTCCTTATAAAGATGCATTCGCTCGTATGTACATAAAAGTCGACACGTCATTCATTTCACAACACACACGTGATGGGTGTCACATGATACTGTACATAATAAGTACATGTGTTACAAATGAAAGTTTGTTCCTTGTTAATACTTGTCAGCAATCCCACTGTCTTGTAAAAAAAACGTGTTAATGCTTTTAAAGCGTGGGACTGTAAAACTCCAGTTGGCCACGGGCCCAGTTTTTTTTTCATGCTAAATGGCCTGCGGTCCAATGCGAACAGTTCAGACTTAAGAC